CTAACATATAGCAGGCATCTATAGGTGACAGCAAGTGTATAATAAATAAATAATAAATAAACTGTAGACCTGAACCAGCTGTTGTGGCTACGTGTCCCTTTTTTAAATTGTGGCTCCACGATCCGGCCGTGTGCCCCCCGCGCCAGAACTACTGCCTTTGCCACATCCGCCACTTCCGCCACAACGAGCCTGTCCTTGCCTCCGACGCGCAGTTTCCAAGGAAATCAAATAAGACTACGCAAAATGTTTGTCTGATAATGAGCTAATTAAAATATAAATCAACTTTATATAGCCATAAACCATTTTCATATACAGAGGCGCAGCGCGGCCGTCTTGAGAGGGAAAAAGCGGCGTCGTATCCCCTCACCCCTGAAATGCTGGCACCAGTAAAACGCCTGAGCAACACAACGAGCGGAGCAGAGGCCGCACTAACCTGTAGTGAGGAGGGGGCAGCTGCTGGATGACGTCGTGGATTTTAACCAAACGTTCTTCATCCGTCGCAGCAGAAACGGCGTCCTGGAACAAGGCGGGAAGGGATTTAGCTGCAAATAAGACTAGGTACCTGCCACAGCTTCTTGAACCCCGTGGCCAACGTCCTGCTCTTCAGTTGCGAGGAGGATCTTGTTGCTCTGCTCTGCCTGCAGAGAGGTGCCTGTCTCTTGGGGACAGACCGGCGCAGCGGTAACGTGAGAGAGGGCAAATCAATCAAGATCTGGGTCACTTTCTAGCTTAATTGCCCAGAGCAGTTCCTTGCAGAGAGCGTTCAGCTCCAAGCGGCGTTTGCTCCCAGTCCCGCTCCTGTTTGAGAAATCACTGGGGAATGGAAAACGATAGGGGAATTCTTGCAAGCACTGTCAGCGTCCCAGTAACCTTCTGCTGGGGCCCCAACGGTGGAATCAATACGGTGTGGAGTGGGGGACAAAGGCACGCCGGAGTAAACCTAGAGGGGAAATAGCAAAGGGACCTCAAACCTGGGGTGTCGCCGCGCTCTGAAATGCAGGGTGCTCCCAGCAGCGGGTAGCAAAGCCACACTGGTAATTTTGGAGATACGCCCTTCCCATCTCTCCAAAAACCCCCACTTCAGCAGAAGTGAGAGGAAGAGGAGTGGAGGACAGGTTGAGCTTGCTGCTGGATCCTCTTCAGCGCTCCTCTGTTCAACCTGCCACGCTGGAGGGGAAAGCGAAAGGCACTGCCTCCGACTTACCGAGAACTTCTCGTAGAGTTGGTAGGTCAGCAGAGGGTTCGGGAGTTCGCGGAAGTACAGTTTGCAGAGGGAGCCCACGCAGTGAATGTCCTGGATGTAAATGTCCTTCGTCAAGTCAGGAATCTGCTCGGAGTCAAACTCATGGCTGGAAAGGAGAACAGAAAAATGGGCAAAGGGCTTTGCAAATGAGAAATGAAAATAAAACCCGGCGTGAATCACAGTCAAGAAAAGCAAGGGTTTCTTGATTTACAGGAAAAAATAAATACTTCATCACCAAAGCCACACAACCCATGGTTGTGGTGCTGCTAGACTGCACTTCTCCAAAATAAGGTATTTTTTTTTTCCTAATAAATTATTTTCAGTTAGTTTTACAACTGAATGGCGAGTCTGAAATCCCTTGTGCTGCAATGGGGCCCTTCACAAAGTCTCCAGAGCACGTCTTCCAAGCCCACGGAGACAATCTGAGTATTCAACTCCCGAGGGCTGTGACTGGGAGCTGCCCGGAGCAGGAGTGCCCACAGGTCTGAACGAAAGCTGTCGTCCTCCTGCATTTCAGAGGCCTGGAGACGGAAACGACAAAGCAGCACCATCGGCAGCTGCTGCACGTGGAAACCAGTGGGCGCAGAAAGTCCTCGGGGACAAGCTGGTGAGCTCAGCTCGCCTCTGCTGCAGGGTGAGCCAGGAACCACATGAAGAAAATCCCTGAGCATTCCCTTGCTTTTCAGAGAGAGAAAAGCCCAAATCACAAAACCTGCCTTCAGCACAGCTCGGGCACCCAGCTCGCCTCCCTCCGCCGACAGAGCAGAACCAGACCCCTAAGTGTCTCCAAGGCACCAGGCGTGTGTGTAACCGCAGCGGTCACCTGCACACCCCCCGAGCTCGGGAGGAGCTCCCTCCTCCCCCCGGAGACCAAGGCTGCGTGAGGGAAGCCATTGTCACTATGCCGGGCTGGGGGGAAGAAGAGGTCTCTACTTCTTCGGACGGGAGGGCCATCACCCCGCCCCAGGTCCTCAAAGACAGCACAGAAGGAAATAAAGGTTTCTGTTCTCCCCAGCTGAGGGACTCCCGTAGCCACGCTCCTCAGCGCTCAGTATACGTCGCTCGCCCAGGCACCTTCTGACCCACCGCTTCCTCCGAGCTGGGGAGAAACTTCTTTCCTGCGCTTGGCTCCACAGCAGAGCTCGGAAGGGAGAGCGGGGAAGGACACCAACCCACCCCACACGAATAAACTGAGCCTTGGCTGAAATTCTCTGGCCGTACCCTGCCCTAGTCCAGTACTCCTGGGACTCCACCATATTTCCCCTAGGAACAAATCTCATGCCATGTCAGAGAACTGCCCCTGAAGAAGCAGAATACGGAATAAGAAAGGGAAGCCCTGCTACATTCAGCCTTTCTTCTCTCTGCACTGGCTTTTCGAGAACTAGAAGTTATTTCTTTAGATCCCAAAAGAAGGGTTTTTTAGTAGAAGAATACAACTTCACAAGCTCCCAAAACAGCCAGAGCCACACCAACTCCACAGCCACTCTGTTTTCCTGCCAGCCAAATGAAGGCGGCTGCTGCACTGCTAAAGAGCCAACCCCTAGAGTCCCATGTGGAATAAATTCTCTAACTTTCTCTCCAACCAAAAGGCCCTTTAAATCCAGGAGATCTAATTCTGCTATGTGAAAGTTAAATGCAGTGACTCATTTCTAAGGATACTGCAGCCCTAGCTTTGCAACAAGCCAAGCGATCTGTTTATATAGCTGGGAACTGCAGCAATGCAACGTGTCCCACATTCATCAAGCAACCACCCACAAAAATCCGCAGTGATTTAGATGAACAACAGGGACAGAGTCTACAAGTTGGGCAATCTACTCCCTTCCTCTTGTCTTTGGAACATCTCAGAAAACTGAAAACCAGGCTGTCACTTCATTCTCTGCACTGTACCAGGGAATTATGCCGTTAAAAGTTTCAGAAAACCATTTCTAAAGCACCTTTGGAAAACAATGAAGGAGAAAACGGCCTTGGCAACACAAAGGGAAAAAATGGACGAGGGCAGCGATCAGAAAGCTGGCCCAGCACAAGTCAAAAGGGGGAGTTCAAGGGATGTAACCGAAGCAAGGGCAAACATTTTATTCAGCCAAGGCTGCTGTGGGGCAATGGCCACAATCGTGGTCTTTGGAGCCTGCTTATCGAAGCCTCCGGAGCAGATTTTAAAAACTGAACTGGCTGTGATGAGAAACAGGGTTAAGCTGGACCAGAATAAACCCGTCCGTAGCAGGGTTTGCGCAGTAACAGCACCGGCTCAAACCTGCCCAGTGGATTTGGGCGTAACTGGTACAAAAAGGATACCCCCCACACGGAAAATGCCCCTTCGCTGCCTCGGCCAGGCCGCGGGCCCGGGAGCCGAACTGGAATTAGTCACACCCCACGAGGTTCTCCCAGTCCCTTCACAGCGGAAAAACGCACACCGAATGACGGGAGGAAAATCAGCCTCGCAAGCGGGTAACGACCACCCACCGCGACCAGAGCCGCTCCTCGCGGGGCGGACACCCACCTAGGCCTTCGCTGCACAGCCGCGCGGCAGGGCAGTGCCACCCACCGAGAGGTACACAAGTGTTCTTTCCACGTTACCAACTAATTGCTAATGCGCCAGGAGTCTCTGGGCTCCCCAGTTCCAGAAGGATGAGGAGCTACTGGAGAGAGTCCAGCGGAGGGCTACGAGGATGAGGAGGGGACTGGAGCATCTCTCCTACGAGGAGAGGTTTAGGGAGCT